CCAATATAGTTCTCCGTAGATAGGACTTAAAAAACAAAGATAACAAACAAAAGCAAGAGAAAAAGTAACTTTTCTTTCCACTGAATCAGAATAATGAAGTTGTAGTTACAGATTTGCTCGTTTCAGATGAAGCAAAAAATATTTTTCCTTTGCCGTTTTGGCGTAAAATCAAAGCAAAACAAATTTTTCCTATTGTGAACCCAAATTGGAGGACATACTGTATGTATTTGTTTATAATTTTTATTGCTAAAGTTTAAGGCTGCGCGTTAAATTTAAATTTATTCGGCGAATAAAACCATCTGTATATCTCAGATAAGGTAAGTTGAGTTATTTTTGCATATTTTGGCCTCTACTATAACCTCTTAAAATTTCTGCACAACTATTGAAGTCACCCTGTATATGTAGACGAACATTTTATATGAGAAATCGACAATTTGGAGCCAATTTTCGCAGTCGACTGCTTGGTTTTAATGCCGGTAATTACGTACATAGTGCTGAGCACGTATATAATAAGGGTGGAAGGGAAATGCGAAACTTGGACCTGTCTACTTAGATGACTTAATTTGGAAACATCGAGTTTTCTAGGACGTTTTCCTAATGTATTTTTATTGACTGTAAATAAGTTTTCCCATGTTAAGTTTCATCGACGTGAGTTTGCCCTGGGGTCTACCGTTATGTCACGTGTGTTCAGTAATAAATAACTCATGTAGGTTTACGGCTGGAAGGAGCTTAGACGAACCAAATAAAAATAATGCAATAGCCATGTCAGGAGTTAAACGTACCATCGTCCCTATTACACATCTAGACGTGCTTCTTAGTGCTTATTTTATGTCTAAGCTTTTAAGTGGGTAGAATTTACTTCTTCTAATATACCTGTAGACAAATCACTATTCGCCAACGAATAAAATTCATTTCATACAAGTAAATTTTAAAAATGTAGTTACCACAAAATTTCTTACACTTGTTAGTTTTAAAATGGTTGTAACTGCAAATATTGCACAATTACTTAGCTCAGATGACCGCTCCCAAAGCTTTTATAAATCATAAATAAACAATCAAATAGTTTTAGAAAATTTTTGCGTACACAGGTACACCCGGGGAAAAAACTATTCACCAGTCTAACTATGTACTCGAGCTGCGCTTTGTCGCAACAACGTTTCCGACTAACTAGCTGGAGAGCAGGTAATATTTTGAAAACCCCTTATTTAGGAAGTTGGTCCGGACCCGAAAAATGTCTTTTTGTGAAAGTTATTTCAATGAGCATACATTATAACGTATACATTAAATTGTGATTATAATAAACAAGCTTGCTCAAATTATCAAATTACAAATACATAAATTTATTTAAGAAATGTATTTTGCAAGTATACAGTATGTTCCCGGATTAAGTTTACAAGAAGAAAAAAATTTTACCTTTGATTTTAAGCCAAAACTGCAAAGGAAAAACATTTTTAGCTTGACTTGACTTTTAAGATTCTTTATCTACAGCTTTCAAAAATCTAGATTGTAGGACCAGTTTTAAATGCCAGAATTTTTTAATAAACTGAGAATTTTGCCAATTTCTATCACGTTATTTCTTTATAATCAAAATTCTGAACTTAATAATACATTTTATAATAGCCAGTCAAAAAGAAACAAATTTTTACCTTTGATTTTACGCCAAAAAAGCAAAGGAAATACTTTTTTTTCTATAGCAGATGTTAAACTATTTAATTTTAGTTAATTTCTTATAGATTTTAAGGCACTGAGTTCAAAAAAAAAACTATTTAAAAAAGTCCACCACGTTATGTTTAAGAAATATGTAATTAACAAAAATACAAAAACCGCCAAAAACATATTAAAAGTAAGTTAGTTTTCTTTATAACAACCCAACAGTAATCTACTAACATATTTTCATCCCAAAAACCTTCGTGTCGATCTTTGAAAACCCTTCAGATCTTGATGAAAATGCTCGTCTTGTTTGTCACTCATGCTCTCTAAATTTTTAGAAAAGAAGTCCAAATGCGAGTGAAATGTTTTTAAGACCTATTTAGACCTATATAGTAATAATTTTGCAATAATTCAGCAACAATTTGAATTTAAATAAATTTTAAATCGGAGGCATTTGTGCAGAAAGCAGAAAAATTATCGTCTGTAACAAAAAAATTGTGACGTAATAGAAAAATTTAACAATTATTTTTGTTTAATTAAAGGTAAGTTAACATAAAAATAATAATACAATTAAAGGTATATTAAATATGTTATTGTTTGTAGACTATAGTGTTATTAGTTATTACAAGCTCAAAATCAAGAGAAAAATTAAATTTTTCCACTGGGTGAAAATAATGAACTTTAAAAATGACAGACTTACTGGTTTCAGGTGAAACAAAAAATGTTTTTCTTTTGCAGTGTTAGTGTAAAATAAGAAAATCCGGAGTCATACTGTATAATATTAGTTATTATTATTATTATGGCATTTAATTTACCACTTTGGGTTTTTTGCTTTGTTTAGAAGTAATAAAAATAAATGTAAAAAAGGGAAAAAAGTAGCTATTTGTTAATAAAATTAAAAGTAAATCACAAAATTTTTGTTAAGGTAATGAAATACATAGGCATGCATTTTTTTCTCTAAAATTTGCTTAGTGTCATTTTGCAAATTATTATAATCACCATTTAATAATTTATACTCATTGAAGAAATTTTTAGAAAAAGACCGTTTTGAAGAAACGTGTATCTCCGAGTCCGGACCAACTTCCTAAATACATATTACCTGCTCCTCAACTAGTTCGTCGGAAACACTATTGCAACAAAGTGCAGTGTGAGCAAAAAGTTAGACTGGTGAATAGGTTTTTCTCCGGGTGTACATATGTATGTTGTAGTTATTAAATTGTCGTATCTAGTCTTAGGTCAAGATCAAGCAAAAAGTATATACATTTTTGATGTCCGTAAGATCTCTGATCTTAACTAAAAAATACAAGGTGATTCACGAGGAATAATGAGCCTGACCAAATTCTCGATGCAACCACCATTACTCTTCGCAAGTTATTTCGCGACAACTGTAATGTTGGTTGCATCGAATATTTGGTCAGGCTCATTATTCCTCGGTGAATCACCCTGTATAACATTTTTTTCACTCCTAGCGCATTTATTACCCAGAAATTCAACGGTGAAAAATATAAGCCTACCTAATGGACACGTTGCCTCAGACGTATTCACAACTATTGTGTGTTAATTCACTATTACCTACAGTAATTAATTACTTATCTGAGTTATTTACTTAAGTTGGAAGTATTATTTTCTTCTTTTCATAAATAAGGTTATGGCATTTTTGTACTTCTGCAACTATTCAGGAAATTTTCTAACTTCATAATATGAAATATTTGTTAAATAACAAAGAAACTGCAAATAAAGGGAAAAAGTATTAAAATTTGCCTCACTACCAATAGTATTTTAACAAGAAATAAACCAATTTGTTGTTTTGACTAAACAGAAATATTAGAGTTAGGGTTATTTATATTTTGATATTATTAATGAGGAAATTTAAGTCTTTTTTATTTGATTTTACAATAATTTCACCTCGAAATATTTCCGTTAGTATTTGTGATGGCAATAGTTTGCAATAATAATATTCTAGAAATATTTGTACCAATGTACAGTGGCGGTCATTGAAAAGTAATACACGGGATTTTGACACATCCTCTCAAAATTTAAAAAATTGCATAATGTAATTTTTTCTTTGTCGTGATTGTCAGTGTCACTGAAAACGTCACTTTTGACAAATTCTCAAATGTACAGAAATCTATTATTATTACAAGATTAAGGGACAATGTCCCTTTACGAGTCATCACAGGAGAAATAAATGTGAACAAAATGACTGTCTTTAAAACAAAGAAGAAGATTCTAGTGACATTTTAAACATGACAGTGATTGTCAATTTCAAGGGAAAATTTACAACGCCAATTGTTTTTTATTTATAAGTGTATTACTTTACAATGGCCGCGACTGTAATACCCTCCAACAGAGGAATTTACCCACTTCGAATAATTATAGCCCTTGGTCCATAATGAAAATGATTATTGACTACTAGGAGTGGAAAACAACTTTACAACCAAATTATGGTGTCTTTTACAGCTAGTTGTGAAAAAATAATTAAAATAGCTAATTTAAAATTGTTTTTCGACGGAAAAATTTAATTGTCAAATGTTAGTTATGATGACAGTAAAAGGTAGTTTACAGTGAACTTCTTGAAGTGCCAGAAAAATACTTCCCGAAATTTTAATTTTGGAACTGTACCTACATGGTAGAGCACCATAATAGCAGCGTAAAAGATCTTTCAAAAGTCTTAAAGTGATAAATCCTCGTCCAAATTCAAATTTCATGTTATTTTACGAAAACATAAACATTTTTGGTAATAAAATCACAAAAGTCAGCTTGAATTTCATATTAAAAAAAATATCCAAAAATATATCCAAACACTTAAATAATAAAATGGCACCTCATTAGCTAATGAAGCAAATGAATAGCAAATGAATCAGATACAGCACTTTTTGCTTTTTTCGTAAGGGGTAAATAAGGACCAGAATGTCTCAAGTGTCCGTCTTTCCATTTATATGCAGATGCAGCCACATTTTGATTCGAAACATCTCAGAGTAAGACGCAAGATTTATTAATTTGCATATTCGTCTGTTGAGCTTCAAGTTGTTTGAAGTCTACTACTACGTTCCGTAAATTATTCATAACATTGTCACTCTATATATCTAAAGTATAACTCTCTCTTTCCATTAATCGGCAGATATACTCAATGCAAAGCTATCAATAGCTGATTACTAATTAATTCACTTCATCACAGACTTTATTAAAAATGATAAAAATTCATAGTAGTTATAATAAATTTATTATAAAGATAAACTATAATAATAAAATGAGCGTTTTTATTCTATATTTTTATAAATATTTTATCAGTTTATGGAGATATTTATAGTCATGTCGATTCTTATGTTAACCGATTGGTATTTTTAGAGAATAAATGACTATGGAAATGTTACCAAAACATAGCACCACATCACATCAATAATACATTACTGAACAAAATAAATTGCATTGGTGTATAATTATATTTATTTCACTTCAAATTTAGAAATATTACGTTGTTTGTTACAGTTGCGCAAAAAGAACTTAAGTTTTAATAAAAGACATTTTTCACATTATCACACCTTCTTTTTTACGTGTATATAATATCTTGAAGTGTTTGAACGATTCATAAATTTCATAGGCAAGTTGTGATTGTTCTTTAAATTTTCCATAAACTTAAATAACGAAATTTGACTATCAGTCATGTCGCAGTCGTTCCTCTGTTTTCTGTTATCATCTTTTTCCGTCTTTTCTTCCCGCACGTAATCAAGCAAACTGTCCTCGTCCAAGCTTTTCTCGTCCCTATTGTCTTTACCAACTAACTTTTCAAAAATTGTATATGCCACGTCGTTGTTAAAGTTGTATCCATTGTCGTCACGATATCCGTTTGTTGTAGCGCCGTTTTTATATCCATTTTTTTTTCGCACTCCATTTTTTCTACAAATTTGATTAAGCATTTCCGCAGGACCAGATTCCTTATATTTCAAAACCACATTGTCAATTACATCTACGTTAGTTTTCCCTTGCACTCCTTTACTAAATTCATCAAGTCTTCGCTTCAGTTCTTCGTTGATTTTTTCAGTCTCTTTCCGTTTCAGTATCTCTTCTTTTAATAGGTTGCTTAGTTCCATCACTTTCTTCTCATTGATAACATTTTCTTGTTTAGTTTGGTTGTGAATGTTTTCAGAAGTTTTCGCTCGTCTAACAGGTCTCTCAGTTATGGTGACTTTAGACTCGTAACGTCTAAAAGGTGCCGACTTGGCTTTGTAAAGTTGCGGAGTTTTGGTAGAAGTGAAAGTAGACATTGTATCTATAAATGATTCACATGCTGTGCTTAAGCTAGTATTACACCACTGGTATTCCGATTGGCCTTCCACATATTTTTGTTTAAGAATATTTAAAATTTTCTCCAATGTTAAATCAGTCAAGTCTTCATTTAATCTAAAATCTGCGATTTCTAAAGATTGACTGTATTCAACGAGATCGATAATCCTCAATCCCATGTTTTCTGTTATTCCACATTTTTGCATGTCCAAAGCTTTGATCCACAAATCATCGTCCAATTCATTTAAAATAAAATTCAGACCATTATCTCCAATCAAAGGGTTGCCGTTTAAAGTTATCCTTTTGATACCTCGCATCACTTGAATGTTTGGATCCGAATACCTCAATGAATTATGCCAACTCTCGCAGTATCTGTTGATTTGCTGATACTTAATCAGTTTGGCCAAATGTTCACCACTTTCAGACGTCAAACCGCATCCACTGAGATTTAACACTTCGATGTTTGGAGCAAATCGTACGTAAGCGCATACGATTTGACAGCCGGAGTCACAGATACGACAACGACTTAAACTTAAATTTTTCAATGTTTTGTTCTTCTGAAGCGCCTTCATGAGTGGTTCCAGATATTGTGCAAACATGGGTAATCCATCAAATTCGAGACACGTCAGGACTTGCGTATTTCTTATGGTGCAGGATAAGGACTTCAGCAACGATTTCAGAATAAAAGCGGTCCATAATGAACCAGAACGTCTCTTCATTTGACGCAGTTTTTCCTCAGTATCAACGTCATGTAGAAACTGACAATTACCTAATCTACTTTTAATTGCAATGACATGAAGACTGGTATCGTGCCTCAAAGCATTTATTACCGGACTCCATTCTTCCACTTTTAATCGATCAGCTACAAAATTCAATACTGTTTGACATTTAGGCTTCGCAGGTTTTACCACAGGAGCTGGGGTGCTATTCAAACGTCGACAAAGCTCAGTGTACCACACATAAAAGATGTTCACCGGTTTGGGATTACTGATGATTGACGGATTTTTCTGGTATGGCATTTTATGATCAAATCTTCAGTTTAATTTTGGACGATTCGAGTTTTTCTAACAAAAATCAACATGAATGAACGATTTTATAAACTTGACAAACAACAAAATAAGTGATTGACATTTATAAATTATTTTTGTGACAATGCTTGCGCAGATCAATGAAGTCAATTCCAAAGCAATCAAGGCTAACAATATTTTATAAATCATGACTTTAAAATACATTTGCTGGAAAAGTGAGCTTGCAAATACACAAGATATTATACCAAAGTGTCCAAGATTTTATATTGTGCTAAAACTAATTAAAGTGGTATTGTACATTCAGATTGCTAGATTTCTTCAAAAAAAATACAGCATTTTTGTTTTTACTTGACATGTCCCAAGAAAAATACAATAACATGTCGTTTACTGTTTCATTGAAACATAGAACTTTCGTGTAATATTCGACGGATTATTTTTTGATATTTCCCAACCAGACGTCACTTCAAAAAAAATTGTAAAAAAACTGCAAATAAATAAGTGCCAATTTTATGAATAAAAATGTGGTCGAGAGTGCTGTGAAAATTTATAAACTTAGAAACGAACGTTTTACACATATTGTTAATAATACATTAAATTTCATTACGATTCTAACAGAAGGTCAGTTTTTCTACCATAGTTAAAAATTTTACCTCTCGCATAGATACGGAAAAATATGCTGTTAGATTTAATGGCGAAACTGGTATACTCTTTTTCATATTAATGTGCATCAAGTAGGTTGTAGTGGTCTAAATGAATCTTTAACTTAAAGGCTGATTTACATAAAAAAAGTGTCATTAATATGTCATTCAGAACAAATTGAAGCACATTAATAATGACAAAAATCTTGTTGTTTGCTACCCTTTGTTAATTACGTTGTTGCACACATTTATTTGAAAAAATAATTTAGGGAAATTTGAAGTTAGGATTGTTTAAATTTTTGCATGATTGCCACCTTAAAATGATCCCTTTCGATGCACATTAATATGAAAACTAGTATATTGGCGCTCACCTAAATTCAAATTGATATTTTGAGAGAAATAATAATATTCTATGGTTTTGTTTTCGCCAATCGGGTGCCTGAAATGTAGAGAAACCAACTCTAAGTAAAAAAAATTTCAAATAATAATTAATAATGACAAAAATCTTGTTGTTTGCTACCCTTTGTTAATTACGTTGTTAATTTTAATTATTTTTTGGTACCTGGGGCACACATTTATTTGAAAAAATAATTGTTAGGGAAATTTGAGGTTAGGATTGTTTGATTTTTTGATGATTGCCACCTTAAAATGATCCCTTTCAACGACTACTTCGATGCACATTAATATGAAAACGAGTATATATTAAAAGAAATTGTTAGTTTTGAAGTTTTTGTGTCATGTAAAGTATACCAGGAACATGGCAAAAATGTTAGAAAATTCTATATCTTAAAATTTCGAAATTATCGGAGTTTAAATTTTGCACTTTGACAGTATTTATTTCTATTAGAAAAATTATTTCCCATTTTTTTTTGCGGCAGGCTATTATTAGAAGAGGAAACAAGAAAGCTGTATCGTAACTTTTAAATTGGTTTAACGTTATTTTGTGGCTTTTATTGTCAAAATGTTTGTACCTTTACTAAATCTTTATAAACAAAACATATACTAGATCATCATTGAAGATAAATAAAATGTCAAATTTGAAATTTTACAGATAATTGACTGTTATTGTTCAAGACATACGTTCATAAAATTTTCAGAACACCTTTGATCATGTTTTCATTCAGACACTTGTTACAAAATAATAAATTCCAAACTGAGCTTTTTATTATCTGTTATTAAAATCGTTGAACATACATTGTTATTGATACGTAGCATAAACGTTTTGACTTCTTATAATTAAATAAAATTAAATAATTTTACTTATAGTCTAAATAAAAATATGATTAGGAATAAGAAAAATGTTTCTCGTTTATACATATAGGGTGATTTCAAAATTCATATGTACAAAAATATATTAACAAGCGATAGTAGAGCTCAAAAAAGTCAAAATAAACTTGCCTTATCCAAATGGAAAAAATCTTTAAAAAATTGTACTCGTATCTATAAAGATTTCGAAGTTATTAGAGTTTAAATTTTGCACTTTGACTCTATTTATTTCTGTTGGAAAAATAATTTTCCAAGTTTTTTTGCCACAGGATTAGAAGAGGAAACAAGAGAACTGTATTATCGTAAATCGTAACTGTATTTAATGTTATTTGTGGCTTTTATTAGCAAAAATTTTTGTACCTTTACTAAATAACTATAAGATCATCGGTACCATTCAAACATACATAAAAAATGTCAAATGTTGACATTTATTTTTTGTTATTTGACATTTTTCAAATTCTAATTTTTGAAACATTTTTTCCATGTTTCTGATGTATGTCAAATTATCAAATGTTTAATTTCCTAAAATGTATATTTTGTTGTCGAATCTCAAACCAATTTTGTAAGGTTAGCAAATTTCATTAGTTTAAATGGCAATTAAAATCATCATCTTTTTGATCATGCCATTTTGCCTTTTGACGTGTCATTTTATTTGACATTTCACAGACATACGTTTTCGAATCCAAGAATGACTCGATTACAAAATAATCTTGATCTCTCGATAAGAGATCATCAGTACCTATCATTAAATAGACATAAAAAAATGTCAAATGTCAAAAAATAAATGGCAAAATTTTTTGACAGATAGAATTTTTTGAACATTTTTTTCATGTTTCTGGTATCTTATCTTATTTGAAATTTTTCTCTGGGGCGCGAGTTCTGACGCACCCATAGATTTTGAAGAGCTAACCTCAAAGATCATACCTGTTTGCAATTTGAATCGGTGAAGTTATAGACTGCGCTACATCTCGCTATATCTCAAAAAGTATAAACATTCAGATAGGGCAAGATGAATTGTTTCGACATCTTTTGAGGTCTATTATCACCTGTTAAAATATTTGCACATACTTTAAAATCACCTATATACGAGTTTACAGGGTGAGTCTTAACACATACTAATAAACGTGGAGAATGCAATGTTATGAATAATATTTAATAAAAGTGCAAAATAAGTTAAATGAAACATTTTGTTTAGGGAGCTAATATGATAAAAATAAAAACCGCACTATTTCAAAAAAAGAAAACTAATTAATTCCGCATTCGACAGACATGGCGTCGTCAAATGTAGTACCGGCATTTCAAATTATTCAAAATTTAAAAGTTTAATAGTTTAATAGTGTTTAATATCACGGAATATATCGGTAATCAAAAGACTAGAATTATTTTCACTATTAGTTACAATTTGGCATGAACTGTTTATTATTCCCTAAGTTTATGCGTATATGATGCTGAGACTTGCCTAGTATTGTGCATTAAATACGAGTATTTAAGTCGTATTTACTCGTACTTTAAAACCTAACGTTTAAACATTTGTGACAATTTTAGTAACTTATCAAGTTTTTGTACATCAAATACAATATACTGTGAAAAAATGAAGGTAACACTGACTAGATTTAGAATAAGAATAAATAAGAATCTTCTGTCATGTATCTGTTTGGGCATAAAATGTTGATCTTGACTTAGTGCGCCCTTAAAAGTGTTTTCATTAATAACAAAAGCAGATGTTTAGATGCTCTTACCAAGTTTTCTTTGATTTCTGTCCAGACTTCTAGTTCCATCTTTAACTGAACCTAATAATTTTTTTTGGTGTCTGTGATCACAATAACTTACTTTTTTCTGAAGCTCTGAAATAACACAAAATGTTATTATTTTTGTAATATATAAATTCATAAAATAAACCTTTTGCATTTTCTAATTGCAGCCACAATTTACTTTCAATTGCTGAAGTCCATTCGTTTTTAATTCTTGGTGATTCTGCTTCCAGAACATAGGTCGCATCCTGAATTGCTTTTTTTGATTTAGTATAATTTGTTAAGTGGAAAACGTTTGGTTTGTCTTCAAATATCCTTAAAGCCAGGTCACTCATTTGTATATTGTCCACATACTTAAACTCTTCTACGTTTTTCTAAAACAGAAAGTTTTATGTAGGTATTCATTATTAAAAACACAAACTATATTTCTACAGTGAGATCACAAAGTCCGTCTATCAAGCAAGCGTAGAAATTTAAAACATATGTCTGTAGAAGATAAAATGTCACAGTGACAAATGAGAAATGTCAATATAATTTTTATGTAAATTATAACAGCAAACCGTGGTGAACGATTTTTATGAATAAACACCAACAAAATCTCATTTTAGGATATTTTGAGACGTTTCATATAATAATTCAATTTAATTAGCTCAATGTTTTAATTTTTATAAAATAATTTTTTGACATCTAGATAACATACGAACTACCATGCAACATATGTCCTCAACTAGGACGCCTACTTGAAAAACTAAGTCAACCTAGTTAATTTACATTCTATCTAGAGCAACGAAATAAAAAAAAAATGTATTTAAATTAAAACAATCACAAGACAAACTAAACATTACAGGTAAATAGAGCATTAAATTGTTTATTATAGTAAGATAATTACGGTAAATTAAATTAAAATACAAAAAATTTGAAGATAAAATTTGTGACTCTTTTAATATAAGAGAACAACAATATAGTTATTTGTTTTTTTTTAAATATTTGTTACGTCAAATTAATCATTTAATTGTCAATTTTACAATTTTTAATAATTGAAAAATTCTGAAATTTACTTGTTAAAATGTTTTTGCATTCTCGATGAAAAAAAAGTATCTTGATACCAGATTGCAAAATGGCATTTTATCATTCGAAATTGAAAAATCAATCGAGAAAGCAAAAACATATTACAATCATGTATCAAACTGAATTTTTTAATAACTGAGCTTCAGAATTTTGTAATTATTAAAAATTGTGACATTGACAATTAATTGATTATTTTGACGTAACAAGTTTTTTGAAACAATTAAATTAATTTTGTTGCCATTGGTATAATAACGCAACAATTAACTGTTAAATAAAACAATTTAAATGGTTTTCTGATGGCTCAATGTAAAAGACTTTTACAGTCAGAAGTAGTTGTAGAAAAAAATAAGATGTTTTAAAATATGTAGATATGTTGTGAAGTACCTAAGTATAAACTATAAATATAGAAATTTGCAAAATTTTGTTCTCTACAACAATGATGCCTTAAACAATTTTCTTCTGAAATAAATGAAATAAACCGTTACATAGTTATTTTGAAATTTTTTTTTTGAAATAAACAACATAAATTTGTGAAGTTATAGGTTTTAGGACAATATGGATAGTACGAAAAAAAAAACATTTATATCCAGATAGAAGTGTCGGACATTAGGTAAAGTCTAAAATCCTATCCGGCGCGCAAATGATGAGTAGAAATTAACTCTTTGCGGCCAGAACGTCAAAAATTATTAGGATTGATTTTATATTTGGATCAGTGATGTATCTTAACATAGTGAAAAAGGAATCATTTTCAATTTTTTTCAAAATTAACGGTATGCTCTCAGTATACCACCAGGCCGCATTGAAAAAAAATATAGTCCCATTTTGTGGGTTTTTGCATGTTCATTATCAGATAAGAAAAGTAAACCGCGCGCGCTAGTGATGAATCATCGACTCGCCACGTATCAGATCCGAAGGATAATCCGCTCGTGTATGGGGCCCTAATATGTCCAACATGCAGTACATTGACTTGGTTTTTCTAAAATTAAACATAAGACTATTTATATTGTATGTTTAGAAATATAAAAAACTCACTAAAATCTCGTGATTTAAAAGGATCGTACACTCACTTAGTTTTTAGAATTAGGTATTAAATTACTCTAAAAATTGCCAACTTTCTTTATGTAGATATAACTCTTTAAAACTGCAACTTTTATATTAACTTTTATTAATCAGGAAAGGTAATTTTGTGTTTTGTCAGTGAAAGACGTTAAAAGATGAATCTAAAATAATACTCATAAAAAATAAATAAAATTTTAAGAATAGGTAAAACCTGCTTAAATCATGCGACGTAGTAAAATTTCAAAACGATATCTACGTTTCTTCGGACATTTTCTATCACCATCATATAAGAGATTGTCAAACCGTTTTGAATCACCGTGTATACATATTATGTAAATACTGTATGCATGATCAATGCGTTTGTTATCATTAAAGCGTATAATTCAGGTATTTCATGGAAAAACTTAGTTATTTCATGACAGTTTATTACACAATAAATATCGAGCGATCAAGATAATTTGTAATCGAATCATCTTTGGATCCGAAAACGTACGTCTGTAAAATGTCGAGTAAAATGACAAGTCGGAAGGTAAATGGCCTGATCAAAAAGGTGATGATTATAACAACTAAATTTATAATTTACCTTCAAAAAGGAACGGTCCTACTCGTATTATTATACGTCGGAGACTAATTCCAGCCCATTTCACCGTTTTACCTTACGACTTGTCATTTTATTTGACGTTTCCTATGAAGTTAGTTCAAAAACAGACATACGTTCTCAGATGCAGCGATGACTCGATTACAAATTATCTTGATTGCTCGATATTTTGCCATGTACAAAAGCACCTCCACTCCTCCACTAATTTAGACAAGTAGCACAACATTAGGCACATTAAATAAACAAAAAATCCATTATTCTTCTGTAGTTTGTTTTTGCAAACCTTAAATACTTTGTGAGATTATTATTCTTTTTTATTTTATTAATTATATTATATTTGCGATTCATCACGGAATTTTTCAATAAAACCACCTTAGTAGGTACCAAAAACCCTACCTTCAAAGGAAGAAGTGGCTTGGTAGGTATACCATAAGATATTTACAACTAACTTAAAATTTGTTTATAGTATGTTACATAACGAGCACGGAAAGTGACAAATAACTCACTTATGAACTTACTTACCGAATGCAGAAGCCCCACGTGTGCGTCAGACACTTTCCAGTGAGTTATGTACACTATTTTTCCCACGACCCCGGTAATACCACGACAAAAAAACACCACTATTTTCAATAAAACAATTTAATGTTTCTGTTAAAGATAACATCGGCAGTAATAAATTAGGTGTCTATTAAGTACTTACTTAATTAAGGTGATTTAAGTTTAAATACTCTATGGTTTGAGTTTGTAGAACTTTGCGTCAATTTTGAACGATAAAATAAGTAATGTCAAAAAAATGGATATACCAACAAACAGCTAATTATTACTCCAATGATTACTCCCAACCCGCCAACCGCAAAACCTCTGTTACGTTAACTTTCGTCGGTAATTCGCTCTATGTAAACAGTTACTTTCGTATACGGTCGTGGGAAAAAATAGTAACAGTATAAATTATTGTAATTCAAGTGAAAACTAAATTATGTTTTCCAAAATGGATTAGGATGACAAACATATTATGATAAATGTGCGTACGTAAATTATAATATTACTTACAGGAGATTTTTCTGTAAAGACGATTACATTTTCAAATAAAAATACCATAGATAGAAACTTCCTTGGTTTGGTAATAGTAAAAAGCGTTCTCATTATGAACGATCCTTGTAACCTTAAGTCAATTGTGCTTTGTTTAATTGAGTCTATAGCAATGTAATCATTTCCTTTTCTCATAACACCTCGTATGACACTAACAGCCTTTTTAATTTGTACTAAAGATTGTTGTTTTTTGTCTAATTCTTTCTGAATTTGTTCCAACAACAAAACATATTTTCCCAATCGTTGAATAGGAGTTAGCAAATAACTAGCCAACCCTAATTTATCCTTTAGTTGTATTTGTCTTCGCTGAAAACATATAGTTTATTAATTATTTAAACATATAATCGTTGATCCCGAAAAATCTGCTAAGCACATGATGGTAATATCTGCTATGGTGCTATGTAAACAATGAGCCCATCCCGTAATTTTTTTAGCTTACCCCGTGGAAGGAGTTTCACCCTCCACGGCTTGTTCCTATTTTTTTATTTTAATAGATTTTCAGTATTATGGCCAAAAAAAGCAATTTTAGGTTTTCCCACTATTGCAGAATAGATAAAATTACAAGAGTTGGTACAGCTGATTACTTTTAAACACCTGAACGAATTTAAAGATCAGTTGTCGAAAGTTTTCATTACGGACCCCTTAAACGGTGAAACAAATTTAATTATTAACTTTTTTATGATCTGTGAGACAAATTGTAATGTGATTTTACTCGAAAACGATAAGTTGTATCGAAAAAACGCAAGAGACGTCTTTTTTGTGACGAATTTTGTGGCTGAAAGTGGCAAAAACCAACTGCCAAAATAGTTACAGTACTTTTTACGCTAAACCCCTCAGTTTAGGACGCACCTGAGTAAAAATTTCGTCATTTTATCTTTGAATCCATTTGGGTGTATAAAGATTATCAGTTGTACCAAATTTTGTAATTTTATCCAGGATGGTTTCTGAAATATTGGACGCCTCGACGCTAAATTGCTCACAAAGCTAAAATTCAATTTTATCGTCTTGTATAATAAATAACTATTATTTAATAATAATAGTTTCATGAATTATTTAATATTCATGAAACTAATGAAACATAAATCGTGATTTCACCGTGTAAAATGCTTCAAATGACTTCAAGTCTTTCAACTCCTGTTGCAAAGGCGCAATTTTTTGACCACTTGAACATAAAAATGATTTTTATTATAAAGTAATAACACATGCACGACAACATTTTAAAATAACTTTTTTAACGTTCTGACTATTTTGCACATGACAGGTTTTTCAGAATCAACGACGTAATTCAAAAACTTACTTTTACAAATTCATCGAACTCCTTAAGGACTTTATCAGCTGTTGGTTTATTTTTTGAATATAAGGGGTATAGTTCAAACATTTTAACCTGAAATTATTGAAGGTATATTAATCTATTATTATGTAATACAAAATGAAGCCATTTTACATTGTCAATAAATAACTGTGCAATTTTTTCAGCATCTAGTCCAGTTTCCTGTAATAAAAGAAGAAATTGTTTAGCATTCTCGTAGATTAATTCAATATTCCCGAATATGTAGGTAGTCTTTCCAATAAGATCAAGTGGGGTTTCCTTCATAAGAAATGGCATGTAATTCTAAAAAATTAATAAATAACTTAATTGAAGTGGACAATCATGTGTTTTACATTAACTATTATGTCCAAGCCATTAATATATAACTCTTCAGTCTTTATGATTTCTTCTATAATATAATTAATTCTAAAAAATGTCCAAAATGTATTACATTTTAATATATTTTGAGTATACGTACTTTTCTTTTTTCTCTTTACTTTTATTTGAAGTTTCAGGATCATCCCTTTTATCTGCAGCATTTGTTTCTTCAGAATCAAATGAGGGTGTTGTGTTATGGTAGAAATTATCTCCCTTTTCCCGATTTGAATCTAAACAACCGCGAAAAGTACAAGTTGAATGAACATCATCGTCGTCATCTTTTACGTAGAATCCATCTTGTCTTGTTTTAACTTCGTTGCATTTATTACTTTCGGATGAAAATTCCTCATCGTCGGAAACATCATGAGGTAACCAAGTAGACACACTCATGGATGTTTTCATACACTTGTTAATTATACTTTCACATATGGATACTTCATTTACGTCAATAATGTCTTTCTCTGTAACTGATTCTTCTGTGTGAAAAACATAATCAGAATTCTGTATTAGACTTCTAATACTATCTTCGCATTCATCTCCTTCCACAGTACGTCGTGTTATTTCCAATGTTGTGATAATAAGTTCTTTACCTTCATCATTATAAGTCTCGATTATATAGTTATCACCTTGTTCTCCATCAAAGTTATTAAAACCAAACATGTCATCACTACTTTCACCATCTTCATCTTCTCTTTCTTTTTCTGAGTCGTATAAAGTGTCATATCTTCTTGTTTCCACTATTTGTCTTGAGTCTTCACTTTGTTGTCTTTGCTGATGCGGTTCGTCTACCTCTTGTTTTTGCAGCAGTTTGTCATCATTTCCGTTTTTGTCACTTAAATTTAAGTCTTCTGTTACTTGTTCCTGTTGTCCATTAGTTTCGTTAGTAGAGTTTTCGTTTGCGATTTCATTTTGTTTGAGCCTTTCTTTATTTACTTTTGTTTCAATGGCCTCTTTAGCAAGTGATTCGTATTTCTGTTGTCGATCGGTGAAACCATTTTTGTTAGGTGAAGAGTTCTCTTCGAATGGTGGCTTTTTCATTTTGCATAAGGAATTTTTGCTTCTTCTCAAGGAATTATTTCTTAGACCTTTGTGATAATTGTTGATATCTTCTCTTGAAATTGCACTACCTCTTGAGGTTGTTTTGTAAGTATTAGAAGCGTTGTTCTCAATACCTCTGTTTTTAATAGGTCTTTTAATCTCTGTGAAATCGTTTACAATTTGTTTAACTTTGCTTGCACTATTATCAGGATTGGATTTATTGCTTCCTTTTCTAATTAAACCATTATTTGCAGAATCCATAGAAGATGACAAATTTTCAAAGTAGGTAATTATCGTCTTTACCATACCATTTGACATGAAAATCACATAAATTTTTAACTTAAATAATTATTTTATTGTGCACCAAATACAACACACTATACTAGAAAATGTCTGACAAACTGATAAGATAACAATATCAACTTCAAATAAGTGGGTCCGTATTTCAGTTTGTCCCAAAAATGTAAGTAATTGCAATTGGTTTACTGGTAAAAAGTTTATTACTAAATGCTTATAAGTAGTACCAAAAGTACCATTTTTCGTTAAATTAAAAATAAGAATTTTAAGAACCTTCTCTACATATAGGTACCTAGTTAAAACAAATAGTAAAAAATATTGTCAGTACCTATATATACAGGGTGATTCAGATAAGATAATGAGCTCGACATTCAGGCGATGCAACAAAAAAAAACAAATTTCATTTACGTCTTGATCTAATTTTAATTACGATTTGCATTTGTAATCCAAGTTATCTTATGTTGTTTTGACATTGCTTTGACCAGCAATTTATAAAAAAAAACTGTGTGTCTACCCTTAATGTTTCATTCTTTCATACATTTTGTATTGGGATTACACCGAAAAGATTTCTTCAATTTCTCTATCATTCCGCGAAAACTGAATAGCACTAATGATTGTTCTCTGTCTTGATGTCAGAGTGGCATAAGATGATAACTTGGATTCGACTTGCAAATCCTAAAATAAATTGGATCAAAGACGTAAATGAAATTTGTTTTTTTAGGTTGCATCGCCAGATCGTCAGGCACAATATCTTATCTGAATCGCCCTATATATACCTACGTATGTACAAGCCGCTCCGTTTCTTATCTTATCAGGTATTCAATCTGATATTAATATTTCTGTGTAAAATTTATTGTTTGCATTACAACCTAAGATTAACGCATCACCGAAAAATTCTAATAATATTTCTCATTTAAAATAAGCGCAGTAATATTTATTTAATATATAGACTGTTCAGCAAGTTAGGAAACACTTTGATGTTTAAAAATGCTTTAAAAAAACTGTACCTACACATATGTACATATACAGTTTTAAAATCTACAATCTGCTATTTTTTAATATTGCGCCGTATTTTTCTAACATACAAAGCCATTTTTTTTAAACAGCAATAGAGTTCAAACTGACCCTTTTTGGGAAAGAATTTTTTAATGCAGTTGCAAGATAATTCATGCCCAGCTTATCTTTCACAACGACGACAAAACTGTTTTTTTAGTTGTCTAATCTAAACACAATTTAGGTATCTGTATTGACATTCGAAATTTTGTCACTTATTAGGATAATTACCTACACCTTAATTTTTTTTTAATAAAACATTGTGTTGACTTGAATATGATCAACCGAGAAATTGTAGATAAATTTAAATTGTGATAGCCCGAATTATTTTAAAGTTTGCAAACATATAACAAAAACATTACTTAAAATATTAGAAGAATTCTGTGTTTGTATTGTACCGATAAAATATGAAGTCCGTTATAAATTGAAATTCGATAATACCAATGGTTGACCACGACCGTTACAAATTTGTAATTATTTAAAAGGGCTTTGAAAACGATTCTGTTATTTTTAACACTCTTTAAATTATGACAAATTAATTTCATAAAATGAGATATATCATTGATTCTTACTGTAGCAATACAACGGTATGTTAATAGTAATTTACGATACAAGTAAGATATTATACTCTTTACTTTACAAGAGAAAAGTTTTAAAGTTTCATTGTTATGTCTATTTAATGATTCTGATGATCTTAAATGTTTATTTTATTTTATAATTATTTAGTAAAGATACCAATAAAAGCCACAAATAACTTTAAACAGAGTTACAATTTAGGATACAGCTTCCTTGTTTCCTCTTCTAATAATAGCCTGTAGTAAAAAATCTTGGAAAATTATTTTTCCAATAGAAATAAATGGAATCAAAGTGCAAAATTTAAACTCTCATAACTTCGAAATTTTTATAGATTCTTTTAACGTTTTTCTTGTTGTCTAAGGCACCGCCCGATGATACAGTCTCCCGTAGGTACGCGACTTTTTGGACACCCTGTATTTTTTATTGTAATGTCTTACACGTCACGTATACAGTCGTAACCAATAATATTTGAAATTGGCTCTATTGAGAGTTGTTAATTTTTTATACATTCGATTACCAATTATCTCGGTACAAAGGTTTACAACGGACCTACTAGTCTAAGAAACAAAAATATTGTTGGTCCTGAATATTATAACCAATTATTATTACCTTTCAATAAAAAGGTAGCTGAGGAAGGTTTTTTTTTTGTGACTATACGTATAGTATTCATTTTTCATTTATTTTTTTTATTTTATATTATTTCATTCCAATATAATTATTTGTTTGTGCTGTTAAATATTTTTTTTTTATTTAGTCCACAGAGAGTTGTCGAAAAGATCCGTCTAAACCGTAAATTGATTCAGAAGTTTTAGGTTTTCCTGGTCTTTTCTTCTCATTTGTTCCATATTTTGCATCCTCCAAAAACCAATCGCGATAGCTTTCTACTTTTGATTTCCAATGTTGTACAATGTCTTCCACTTTGCCTCCGTTTCCACCATATTCTTCGGGAAGAATTTCTTTGGGAACGACTTCATATAAGTCATTTAGATTTTTACAAATGCGTATCTGGAAATTGTAAAATGATAAAAATTGGAATAACTGACTAAATGGCTTCGTACCCTATCCCTAACTTTGTCTGTCAAAAATGGTTTAAATATTTTTTGAACTGCATCAAATACAGGATTCACGTTAAAAAATGCTGCGCTTTTAATTCTATTCGGATAACCATACTGCACACAAGTCATAATTTTTTTTATCAACGACGGAGAAACTGTTGACAAAACATGAGTCATAGACAGATTAGACATGTCATGAAGCAAGGTGGTTCCGGCAACTGCTAAATTATCGTCCTCTAGTAACAAAATGTCCTGAATCATGGCACTGGCTTTAAAAAGAGCAGCTAGATCTAAGTTATGCTCTTTGACTAGACTGTTTCTAGCTAAGCTAACACGAGGTCCACCAGGATGACTTAGCATTGGCAAGGGTAACACAGGCCTAAAGTAAATTTTTGAGCAATAGTGAATAATTCTATTATATTTACTTTACCCAACAGATAACACTTTTTGAATTTCAGGGAGCAATGGATCACGATTTTCATAAATCTCCGGAGTTATTGTTTTCAAGGTGTAATGCATATCGAGCTTTTCTTTAGTACGTTCCAGACTAAATTTGCAACCTCTAAGAAATGTTACGAGCAACTGATCATCTGAAATGTTTTATAGTGTTAATATGACATGTGTGGACACGTATACGTAACGTAAATTTTTAAAGATCAAAAAAATGTACTAAAATTATTATTCTGAAATTTTTCATTTTACTCGTACAATGTAAGTACCTACATATTGAAAATATGCTTTTAGGTACATAGCACAGAAAATATTTCTTACCTGTTCTCGCTTTAATATGAGGTTGTTTTGAAATCCAATTTTTAATATGCGTTAAATCAGAAGGTATCCTTTTTGGGTCTTCATTTAATTCTTCAATAGCCACTTTTTGCAATTCGTCAGAGAGCTTTCTTATAGACATGTTGCTGCGCTTAAGATTGATAAATCAAATGAATTATCCAATTATTTGCACAACGTAATTTAAAAATAACAAGCTGATAAAATTATCAACGTGGATCTTTGTAGATATTTGATAAAACACCTACAGCAAGGCCATCTGAATCAACAAGCTACGCTTATAAGGCCGTTTCAATTTTCGATGTTTCCATATAAACTTTGTTTCTGTGACATTTCGGGCGTCAGTAC